TGGTGGTCAGATTGTGGGTATCTCCCCTACTCCCAGTGGCTCCTGACACTATCAACAATCATGTGAAGACTTGTCGAGAAGAGCAGAAGAATCTACACTTCTTTGCACCAGAGTATGGAGGTGAGGCATCCTGACTCCTCTACCCTGTCCTCATGCCCTGGTTTTGCACTGTGCAACCTAAGATGTAGAGGTAATACAACTCAGACTTGTTTTGTTTTTGTTTTTTGTCTTTTTGAGACAGGGTCTCGCTATGCAGTTCAGGTTGGCCTTGAGCTCGCTTTGTAGCCTAGGCTGGGCTCTCGAACTCGCAGTGATCCTCCTGCCTCAGCCTCACCGAGTGCTGGGATTACAGGCGTACACCACCACGCCCGGCTCAGACTTGTGGTCCTCTTATTTTTTATTTTTTTTGTCTTTTTGAAACAGGGTCTCGCTATGCAGTTCAAGGTGGCCTTGAGCCCACTTTGTAGCCCAGGCTGGTCTCGAACTCACAATAGTCCTCTTGCCTCAGCCTCCCGAGTGCTGGGATTACAGGCGTGTGCCACTGCACCCAGTTTAGTTCTCTTTTAGCATACAAAGTATTTTTCTCTTTTAAAAGGTGTATCTGCCATCCCTTGCACCCAGTCCTCTTCCTCACTAAGCCCTCTCTGTTCTCCCTAGAAGTCACTAATGTCACAACAGCAGTGGATATTTACTCCTTTGGCATGTGTGCACTTGAGGTGAGACCAGAAGTGGGGCGGAGGGGGATACCAGAGGGGAGGGGGAGATGGAGAGAGGACAAGGAACATGCTGGTTGTGGGGAGTGACTGTGGGAGCACCAGGGTTCTTATGTCTGTCATTTTCCTTTGGGTTCCTTTTCACTGCAGATGGCAGTGCTAGAGATTCAGGGCAATGGAGAGTCCTCGTATGTGCCACAGGAAGCCATCAGCAGTGCCATCCAGCTTCTAGAAGATTCGTTACAGAGGGTAAGGGTCTTCAAGGTTGCTCCTTCCTTAACTGACTTTCACATATCTTCAGATATTTCATCACTGGGAATTTCCTCTTCTGAGAGCAAGAGAACATATAGCAGAAGAGGAAAGACAAAGTGCAGGCTGGGTGTAGGGGCCCACACTGGTTATCTCAGTTACTCAGGATGTTGAGGCAGGGGAATCACAAGTTGGAGGCTAGCCTGTGCAATTTAGGGAGACAGTGTCGCAAAATGAAAAATAAAAAGGGCTGGGGATACCAGGGATATAGCTCAGTGGCACAAGAGCCTGCCTGGCAAGTGTAAGGTCCTGAGTTCCGATTCCCGGTACCAAAAAAAAAAAAAAAAAAAAAAAAAACAGCAACCAGAGAAAAAGCAATTCTGGGCAGCAAAGGCAAGGCACGAGGCTCTCAACAGCTGCCCTAGCAGCTGCTAACATGGCCAAAAAAAAAAAAAAAAAAAAAAAAGACAAAAAAGGGCTGGGGATATGGTTCAGTGTAGCATGCTTGCCTGGCATGTGTGAGCAATTTTCAGTACCACCAGAACAAATTAAAAAAAAACTATAAAATTTCCCTGAGAGGTACCTACCATGCTTTTGTATATATACTACATTGGGGATTAAGATGGGGTTATAGGTTATGTGTTAATTGAAGTGTGTTTACAAATTAATGGTTACTACAGGCAGTTCCTGTATACTCTTTTAGATAACCATCTTAATGTCCTAAGTCAATGATGGCGAACCTTTTAGCACTTCCGGTAATAAGAAACAGCCCACTGCAGCACATGTGCCATAGTTTGCCACCACTGTAAAATCAATCTGTTTACATTTTTTTAAAAAAATTTTGTCTTTTTGAGACAAGGTCTTGATATGTAGTTCAGGCTGGCCTGGAGCTCACTTTGTAGCCCAGGCTGGTCTTGAACTTGCAGTGATCCTCCTGCGTCAGCCTCCCAAGTGCTGGGATTACAGGTGTGGACCACCACACCTAGCTTCGATCTATTTACATTAATCAAATCAGTCATTTGAGATTTTATAATTACACAGTTAGGGAAGGTTCCCTGAAATAATAAGCTAAGATTTAAAGAATCTAAGGAGTGTTATTAATAGATTAACTACAGTTCAGAAGTCTGGACAGGAAGGTCCAAATATAGTTTGTAGCTCAGTAGAAAAGCATAGAGGGGAGCAGGAGAAAAAAGAAGTAAGACTAGTGGAAGTTTTGAGGACACTGGAGCACTGGAGTACGCTTCTGGTTCACATTAGGAAGTAATGTGTTTCTCGAGTGAAGAATTAGGTATGTGATCTTGGCTTTGCAGACGGAAAGTGAGAAAGCAGGTTCATTGTCCTGGAACCTGCAAGAGGTAGAAAAGGAAGCACAAAGGCTAGAGGAAGCATGGGAAATGGAGTGACTTCAGTGGTTGTAGTGGGCAAAAGAAATACTAGGCTTACAAAAAAAAAATCACACAATGGATTAAGTTTGGGAAACAAGAAACTAAATTTGATGGGAATTGCAGAAGAAGAGTAGTCAGTGAGTGGGCTAATAAAAGAAAAAAAAACATGAACATTAATGAAAGAAAAAAGAAAAATTACGGTTAAAAAGCAGAAAAATAATAAAAACCAGGAAGTCATATTTTTATATTTTCAAAGCCCTTTCAGGCACATTTATCAGTATGTTTCTTCACTAGTTGCTAAGCACCTAGTGTGTACCAAGCCTTGTGCTAAGTGTAAGATGAGCACAGGAGGGGCGTATTAGATGCCTGGTCCCATTCCTTTTTTAGGAGTTCATTCAAAAGTGCCTGCAACCTGAGCCTGCTCGAAGACCAACAGCCAGAGAACTTCTGTTCCACCCAGCACTGTTTGAAGTGCCCTCACTCAAACTCCTTGCTGCTCACTGTATTGTGGGACACCAACGTGAGTCCCCTTAACACACTAGGAATTTTCTGGAGCTTCATATCTTGCTAGAAGGCTCTCTTTCCCCTCCCCTTTCAGAGGGATTCTTTACCCCTGTGCCTCCATGCCTTCTGTGACCCTGTCCTAGCCCTCCCTAACAGCCTACTCCATCATGTCCTCCAGACATGATCCCAGAGAATGCTCTGGAGGAGATCACCAAAAACATGGATACCAGTGCTGTACTGGCTGAAATCCCTGCCGGACCAGGAAGAGAACCAGTTCAGACTTTGTGAGTAATCAAACTGACAGGGGTTTAAAAGGGACAGACTGGTCACAACCACCCCAAGGCTCTGTAAATGGCCCATTTTCTAAGGCTGAGTCTGCTATTTTGTTATTTCTTTCTGTCTTTTCCTCTCCAGGTACTCTCAGTCACCAGCTCTGGAGTTAGACAAATTCCTTGAAGATGTCAGGTGAGAGGAGCCTGGGAGGGCAGGTTTGCGGGAGGAAGTAGGAGCAAGTGTGTGAAGGCACTCACAGCGCCCATGTGGTCTGTCTCCATTTCCCTCCAGGAATGGGATCTACCCGCTGACAGCCTTTGGCCTGCCTCGGCCCCAGCAGCCACAGCAGGAGGAGGTGACATCACCTGTTGTGCCCCCCTCTGTCAAGACTCCAACACCTGAGCCAGCAGAGGTGGAAACCCGCAAGGTGGGGGCTGAGTGTGAATGTGTATGTGTCATGGGAGAGGGGACCTATTAAGTAAGGCTTTGTCCTTTAGAGAAGAGTGCACTTCTGCACTTCTGCCTCCTTCCCGCCACGTCCTGTGGGCTGGACAAGCTTCCCTGTGTGGGGAGCCTCGTGCTGGTGACCGCCCTCCCTGTCCTGAGCTGTCCTTCCTGTCCTAGGTGGTGCTGATGCAGTGCAACATTGAGTCAGTGGAGGAAGGAGTCAAACATCACGTAAGGCTCAAGGCCAGCTGCACAGTGCTGGGTGGCTGGAGGGTGGGGAAGAGGAGCCTTAGTCTGACTGTGCTCTTTTCTAGCTGACACTTCTGCTGAAGCTGGAGGACAAACTGAACCGGCACCTGAGCTGTGACCTCATGCCAAGTGAGTCTCCCCTTTTCCTCGGAGGACGGCCGGTCCATGAGGGCCTGGTTGGGGGTGGGGCGAGAAAGTGACCAGGCAGTAGCACAGTAGCACATTTGACCTCCCCACCCTGAGGCTGGTGGTGGGCTGGTGCTTTGAGGGGCTCTGTGTCCTGTCTCCTGTCTTGCACTCACCTTGCTTCTCTCTGTCAGATGAGAACATCCCTGAGCTGGCAGCAGAGCTGGTGCAGCTGGGCTTCATTAGTGAGGTGAGCTTCCTGCCGCCTTCTGCCCTGGCCGCCTCCCTCCTTTCTGTTCTCTCAGCTCTGGTCTCAATGGGCTTCTTCCCCCAGGCTGACCAGAGCCGGCTCACATCCCTGCTGGAGGAGACGCTGAACAAGTTCAATTTCGCCAGGAGCAGTACCCTCAGCTCGGCCGCTGTCACTGTGTCCTCCTAGAGTTCACTGGGCCGGGCCCTTACCTGAGCTGTGGCTGTCCCTGATGTGCTGCAGCCCTCCTGCCCCTCCCCCAGTCAGTATTACCCTGTGAAGCCCCTTCTCTCTATTACTCAGGAGGGCTTGGGGGCTCCCTGTTCTGAGCATCCTCCTACCCTTCCCCTCTCTCCCTCCCCCTCTCTCCCTCCCCTCTGCACTTTGTTTACTTGTTTTGCACAGACGTGGGCCTGGGTCTTCTCAGCAGCCGCCTTCTAGCTGGGGGGCTAGTAGCTGACCTGCCGGCTCCCGCCCAGCCTGTGTGGACAGGAGGCCCCTGGGCACTGGGGAGCTGAGTCCTACAATCCCGCTGGGGCGGACAGGGCGGGAGAGAAAGGTGGTGCTGCAGTGGTGGCCCTGGGGGGCCATTCGATTCGCCTCAGTTGCTGCTGTAATAAAGTCTACTTTTTGCTAAAAGCGTCCTTTGTGTCTGTGTATGTGTTGTAAGCATGGGAGCACGGATCGCGCTCCCGTGGGCCTGTGGTGGGGGCGGGGGCGGGGACGGGGGCGGGCCCAGGTGGGGCCTCAGGTGGAGGGCGGGGCCTCAGGTGGAGCGCGGGGCGGGGCTGCCCAGCGTGTGACCCTGGGCGGGGCCTCAGGTGGAGGGCGGGGCAGGGCCCAGGTAGAGCTGCCCTGCGGCGGCGCCAAGCGGCTCCCACTCCCGGGATGGGGTGCTGCCGCCTCTGCGTGTTCGGTAAGGTAACTTCCGCTCCTCGCTTCTGCTTCCGTGACCCCTCAGCCCGCCCTTCGGCGGGCCCCTCCGCCCTTGCCGCCCGGCCGTGCGCTCAGGCCTGCCCCTCCCCCTACCTCGCAGACGCCCTCCGGGGCCCCCGGCGGCTGATGCGCGTGGGCCTCGCGCTGATCCTGGTGGGACACGTGAACCTGCTGCTGGGGGCCGTGCTGCACGGCACAGTCCTGCGGCACGTGGCCAATCCCCGCGGCGCTGTCACGCCGGAGTACACCACCGCCAATATCATCTCCGTGGGCTCGGGGCTCCTGGTGAGAGCGGCGGGCAGCGGGCGGGCGGGCCGGCCGCGCCTACAGCCAGGGGCCAAAGGCTTCATGTCTTCCGCAGAGCGTTTCTGTGGGACTTGTGGCCCTGTTGGCATCCAGGAACCTATTTCGCCCAGCACTGGTGAGAGGAGTCTTCTGGAGCGAGAGGGCTGGGGGAGGGTTGTGTGGTGTCCTCAGCTCGCAGGAGGAGCTCAAACGGAGAAACGGAGGGTCTCGTCATGGGGAGACTTGGCGGGGCCCAGGCTTCTCAACTTGGTCTCTGCTCGCCAGCACTGGGCCCTGCTGGCACTGGCCCTGGCGAACCTGCTCGTGTCTGCTGCCTGCTCCGTGGGCCTTCTCCTAGCAGTGTCACTCACTGTGGCCAATGGTGGCCGCCGTCTTATTGCTGACTGCCATCCAGGACTGCTGGATCCCTCCATACCGCTGGACCAGGGGCCCGGACACACCGACTGCCCATTTGATCCCACGAGAATCTTTGTAAGCTTGTTCCCTTCCTGCTTTCCATAAAGCTGCGGCCCTGCCCTTTTAATGTCTCCTGTACTTTTATTTCTCCCGTCCCAGTCCCTCGTAGACTCCCACCCTTTTCACTTTTAGGACACAGCCTTGGCCCTCTGGATCCCATCTCTGCTCATGTCTGCAGCCGAGGCAGCCCTATCTGGTTACTGCTGCGTGGCCGCGCTCACTCTACGGGGAGTTGGGCCCTGCAAGAAGGAAGACTTTCAGGCGCAGGTAAGGAAGAGGAGGAGGAAGGGTTCATCCCACACAGTCTGGCTGTGTTGAAAAGGAGCTGATGTCTATCACTGAGGGCAGGGCGCTAACTGCACTCTTCTGTAGCTAGAGGAACTGACAGAGCTTGAACCTCCTAAATGTAAATGGCAGGAAAACGTGAAGCTTCTGCATGAACATCATGAACTCCTGGCATCACAAAAAACCTGGGTTTAGGACAGGTAAAGGGATCTGAGGGTGGAGGGCTGGATTCGAGCCGGGGCAGGGAAGCATTCCTAGGACTGTGGCTGGTTCCTGTGTGTGTGCTGGAGATTAAACCCAGGGCCTTTATGCTGTACTACACCCACTCCCTTTTTTTGACACAGGGTTTTGCTGAGTCACCAAATTGCCTGGGCTGGACTCCAATTTGTGATCCTCCTGCCTCAGCCTCTGAGAGTACTGGAATTACAGACATACACCCCCATTCCTGGTTTACAGCACGGTGCTCTGTTGCCTCGCCCTCAGACTCAGATTGGTTCTTCCTTTTATCAGCAAGGGCTGCTCTGTGGCTCAGCCCACAAGTATTTTTCCACTAAGCCAGGGGCCCTGATTCCAGAATGATATAAATAATTGTAATAAAAATTTTTTTCTTCTACTTGATCACAATTCTTTTGAGGGGAAAGGGTACTGTGCTGGTGTTGCAGTTGACTGTGGTCAGAGAACACAGTGGTTTGTTTGTTAACAGAACTTTAATGAAAGAGAGGCCCCAAATCTTCCTCAGCTCTGCCAGTCACTGAAAGGAAAAGCTGGTGCTGGGGAGCCCTCCACACCACTGACTGATGAATTTCAACACATCCTGGCAGACCGGGCTGTGGGAGGTCTGTGAGCAAAGGGGAGAACACAAGAGGCGCCCCTCAGAGCTGGCGCCGAGGACATCAATCCATTGCAGGGTCTGCACCTGTCTGCTAGACAATCCCCGCCACGCTTCCGGTCCCCTCCCCCACTTCTGTTCCCTGACCTTAGCCTTCGCCTTTCCCCCTCTAACCTTGATGGCCATAAGAAACTTGTTCCAGTTGTCCTTGTCAGCAGCCTTTCCTGGTCGCTTAAATTCGATTTTGTTCCTCAGAATGGGGTAACCTGAAGGGAACAGAAAAAGGATGAACAAGGGTTTGAACAGATTGAGGGTGGACTATGAAAGAAGAGCAGCCTAGGGTGGAGCGTGAGCGGTCCCTGCCTTGCGCACCCTTTACTAAATTAATATGAAAAAAAGCGTCTTGATCCCGCGGCATTCCCTCCCAGGTCTGCCTACCACAGGATGTTGGGGTGCTGCGGGGTTTCATACCTGTAATGAGGCAGGGCAGCGCCCGAACTCCAGTGCTCACTGCCACTAGGGAAGCCTCATAGGTGCCACGCTCATCCTGAGGCAGAACCTGCTCCAGCCGCTGGTCCATGGAGACTGTGAGCACCCAGTCCCGAACCTCTTCTCTCTGGGCCTCCTGGGAGGACAGAGGAAGCAGCTTCACATAGGGCAGGATGAGTGGGGGTGGGGTAGGGTGTTTGGTAGGCCCTCATCCTGTACCCTGGCTTTCAGCCTTGATGATCTGCTTTGCACTGGGCAGACAGTCACTGCTTCGATGTCCACTTAGGGAGTTCTGAGGTCCTCACAAAGGCAGTAGCCCAAGGTTTTCCTCCCAAACCACTCCTGGTGAGGCCTTGCCTTTCATTCTCGCACACTTACTGGTACATGCTGCTTGGCTGGGAGTGACACCTCATAGGGAATGTCTGTATCCTGAAAATCTGAGTGGTCAAGGGCATCCAGTGTACCTTCTTCAATGGCCTGCAGCAGAGTGGACAACCATGAGCCAGGCACAACCTATGACAGGCAAAACCTTAACCACTGGCACAATTTCCCTACTCACGTCGGTCAGATCCAAAAAGCGGTTGAGGAAGATGAAGGCCATGTTCTCCCACCCGACAGCCTATAACAGAGAAAGGTTGCGAATGTGAGTGAGCAAGCTGAGCTGGATGCTACTTCTTTAGGCGGCAGGGAAAAAACTACAGGCACCGGTAGAGGACAACTTTGTCTTTCATAACATCAGACCCACAGTCAGCTTTGCTCAGGGATATTCTGTCTTCTAACTGGACTTCCATATCTCTTTAAGCCCCACCCTTCCTGTTCAACTCACCTTGGCAGCCGTGCCTGCTTCATAGAAGGCCTTGTCTGCCGGTAGTAACTGGGTGTGACGCAAGAGTGAAACAGAAAGCCTGGCAGCCACAGTTTCCTGAGGATTAAAGGCAAAGCTTTATGATCCTGGTGTTACAGTCACTGAGCTACCAGACCAACGATCCTACAGTGAAGGTAGCCACAGAACTAGGAAACCAACATTAATATTAAAGTGGCTGGGCAGGGGGTGGTCCATGCCTGTAATACTAGCACTTTGGAGGTTGAGACAGGAGGCTATCAATTTGAGCCCAGCCCAGGCAATTTAGTGAGAACCTGTCTCCAAAAACAAAACAAAACAAAGAATGGGATGTAGCTCAGTGCAAAGACCCTTGGCTCAATACCCAGTACTACAAAAACAGTGTTCATTATAGGAGATGAATAAAGAAATCATGGGATTTGAATGTATAAAATTTATGAGGTAGGGCTGAGGATGTAGCTTACTGTACAGCACTTGGCTAGCATGTACAAGGCCCTGGGTTCAGTCACCAGCACTGAAAAAAGATAAATAAGTAAAAATAAACTAAACATAATGTGCTGGAGTTGAGTGGGCACAGAAACCCAGAAGATCAAAGCAAGCTACGCATGGTGCTGCATACCTGTAATTCCAGCACTCAGGAGGCTGAGTGAGGCAGGAAGATCACAAGTTTTAGGCCAGCCTGGGCTATGTAGTGAGACCCTTTCTCAAAAAACAAAAACAAGGGGCCAGGGATATAGCTCATTGGCACAGGCGCCTGCCTAGCAAATGCAAGGTCCTGAGTTTGATTCCCAGTACCAAAAAAAAAAACCCACACAAAAAGGCCTATGGAGTACGGGAAGAAAACTCATCTCAACAAGGATTTTAAAGAAAGCCTGATTTAGATGATGAAAAGTGAGGAGGTCCAAGAGCCTAAACTCTACAACCCAGAATTTGGAGTCCTTCAACATCAGGTTTGAAAATGTGTCCTTAAGACCTGGCACCCTGCACCTCATCACCTCCACTGCATCTCACCAACTGCTTGACGCTCTGGGCTGCAGAGCGAGTGGCATAGTAATGAGCAATCAGCAGCATCATCTCAAACTCCTCATGGGCAGGAGAGTTGGCTTCACTGGACTTCACCAGGTTTTCACACTAGAGAAGGACAAGAACACAGCCTGGCTTAGGGTCACAGCAGGCCAGGGCCATGAGTGGACAGAGGCAGGGAAACATGTCTGAGGGCCAAGGATTATGGACAAGAACAGACCAGGAAAAAGACAGGCAGAGAAACCTTTTACTGGCACACCAGTCTCCTCACCAGATTGAAGAGCACGTCCCGAAGATCCGCCCAGCTGTGGTAGGCCTCGGCACTGTTGGTCCCGGGAGAGCTGACCATGTCAGTGAAGATCCGCTTGTAGATATTGAAGTTCTAGAGAGAGAGGGGTTGGAGATCCAGCTGAAAGGCTTAAGCAGAAGTGAAAGACAGTGGATGTGGACTCAAAGGGAGGAGAAACAGGCGGTGTGTGTGTGTGTGTGTGTGTGTGTGTGTGTGTAGAAGCCAGGGAACAGTGACAGAGAAAGTGCTGATTATTTTTAGAGAAAAGAGTATAAAAATAACTCTTCTAACTGGATGGTACTCCGTGAGTGAGGGCAAATGTATGAATGTGAATGCAGTCATAGTGTTAATGACTGATAGTACAGAGAGCTGTGGTTTTCTGGTAGGAGAGCAATTTGTTCTCTAGAGGAAGCTGTGAAGGCTCTTGAGGGCCGCACAGGATTCTTCTCTGGAAGATGAGTGCCTAGGTATTAGCATGGGCATTTCTTCAAGTAGTAAGCCCTCTGGAGAGGCTGCTGAGCGGGGACTCTGGACATGAGGTTATCTGAGGATAGAGTCCTTCAAGACAGTTCCACAAGGGATGTGGGGGTTCTAGAGGAGGAAGAAAGAGTTTCCCGGGGGAAACATTTGCACCAAGAAGACTGGTACCTGTGGGTTAGCAGGAGCTCCATGTTGCACATAGAGGGCCAATGCCTGGGCACAGCCGCCCTCTCGGATCAGGTGAGTAGCATATAAAGCCACGTACTTGTGCAGAATCTTGTAGTTCTGTGGGATAGGGAGGCAAAGCATGGGACAGGTAGGAATCTGGAAGACCAGGCCATTGGGGGAGGGTTCTGACTTGAGGCCATGGATTTGTTTAGGAGGCAATGGGCATGAGAGATCCCAATTTCAGAGGATGGAAGACTGAGCTCTCTGGTGCTCATTAGGGATCTCTGGGGGCTGGAACTTGGTTGAGGCAGCTCTGGAGCAAGTGGAGGAATCAAGGGAAAGTGCACAGAGGCCATGGGAGTCAGGGAGAGAGCAGTACCTGCTTAGTAGCTGTTTCGATGCACTTGTCCCACTGGCCCTGCTCTGCATACAGATCCAAAGCAGCTACCACATCCACACCCACCAGCTATGGATTGATGGAAAAGTTAGCTCAAGAGGAGAGAGATGACCCAAGAGGGAGAGAATGTAGTACCTCTCCCTGCGTTCTGCTTTTACCCTTTTTAGCGGTTTTGTGGTGCTAGGGATCCCACATGCTTAACATCCCAAGTGCTGCCCCTGAACCACACCCCCAGCTTCTCCCTCTGTTCTGCTTCCCACTAACTGCAAGTCTCACCGAGTCCACTTTGCCCTGGTTCTTGAGGAAATCCTTATAATGCTGGTCCACGTAGTCTTCGTACCTGTGGAGACATACAGAGATCTCTAGCTTCATGGTTCAGCAATGCCATACCTTCCCCATAAGACCTTTCTCTCAGTCTTTGCAGGAAGAAGTACGAGAGAATGTCCCGGTGAGAGCAGTCCTAACTTTACCGCGGATCTAACTCCTTAGCCACACGCTTGGCCTTGTTCCACTCTTCACCCTCAATAAAAGCATCGATCGCCTCCTTGACAAGGTCCAGGTTCAGGTAGAGCTCCGCAGCCTGCACAGTGGGACACATCAAAGCAGAGACCGTCTTTTCCTTGACTGCCTAGTCTCCTTGTGGTAAGCTCTCCTCTCCACCTCCCCACAGCACTGCCGCCTCACACACTTCTTCGGTGTGATGTTACCATCCTACCCTTCTCAGGGCAATCTTTTCTTTTCAGTCCCAGCACCCTACTTACTGCACTGTGCTTTCCAATTCCAATCAGCTGGGGTCCTACAGCCCGAACTACTTCCAGACTGCGCTGGGGAGGCAGAAACTTGATGGACAGTTCAGCTGCCTGGGTGGTTGAACAGAAGATGGAAATGAATAGGGAAGACAAATAAAGCTAGAGTTCCTCAGCCTGACCCATTGGATACATTTTCCCCTCCAGATGGCAACTTTCTCTCTGGTGCTCTCCCTCACTTTTCCTGGACAAAGCCTGGCCCGTGGTCCACTGGATCCTTTAGCTGACCAGCAGTAGAGCTACCTGTTCTGCTCAGCTCACTGGACAAACCTCTAACTCTTTCAGACACTT